GACACGGGGAAGGTAAGGGCCCACCCCACCTTGTGCCACCGCGGTGGTGACCGGCCATTGGGTGGGGTCACCTCTTGGGGGGGTGGGGGGGTGCAAAGGGGTTTCTCTGCCTCCTTCTCTGCCCCCTCTTGGTTTCCAGGCCTGCGGCGTGGACTATGAGGTCAAAGCTTTCTGTGCAGAGAACCTGGAGGAGAAAATCCACAAGAGGTGAGCGGAGAGGATCCATCGAGCCTGGGTGGGAGCAGCGTCCTCGGGGTGCTGGCAGGGGCTGCGACCCGGCAGTGGGAAAGGGGGACCCCGCTTTGCTGCCCACGGCGGGTGAGATGGGGCTGGGATGGAGATGTCCTCCAGGATAGGGTTGGGATGAAGATGTCCTCCAGGCTGGAGCTCTGGGATGGATGTTCTCCAGGCTGGAGCTGGGATGGAGATGTTCTCCAGGCTGGGGCTGGGATGGAGATGTCCTCCAAGCTGGGGCTGGGATGGAGACACTCTCCAGGCCAGAGGTGTTCCCCAGGCTGGAGCTGGGATGAAGATGCTTTCCAGGGCAGGGGTGGGTGAGGGATGATCTAGGGCTGGGGTTGGAGACCTCTACCGCTGCGCTGCGTGGGGCCACCCTGGCAGCCTGGCATGGCCGTGGGGCTGCCCCCTCCAGCCCAGGCGAGTGGGGCATCCAGCTGGCACCTCCCACGCTGTCCTGCTGACCCAGCAGACCAGAAGAAAAGAGGGATTTGACCCCAAAATGGACCAAGAAAGAGGGCAGCCGGAGGCCTGGGTTCTCCTCTTGCCATCTCCCCCCCAGGAACTCAGTGCGCTTGGTGATCCGGAAGGTCCAGTACGCGCCGGAGCGACCCGGCCCCCAGCCCATGGCAGAGACCACCCGGCAGTTCCTCATGTCGGACAAACCGCTGCACCTCGAGGCGTCCCTGGACAAGGAGGTGGGTGAGGACCGAGGAGGGGGACACCGGGAGGGCGTCCCCATTGAGGACGGGGACCTCACCGTCCCCCCTCCCTTGCTCCCTGCAGATCTACTACCACGGCGAGCCCATCAGCGTCAACGTCCACGTCACCAACAACACCAACAAGACGGTGAAGAAGATCAAGATCTCAGGTGAGGAGCGAGGCTTCGCCCCCCACCCCGGCTGCCATCCCTGTCCCCGTGGGGACCCTCCCCGACCTCCGTCTCTCCATCTCTCGCCCCAGTGCGCCAGTACGCCGACATCTGCCTCTTCAACACCGCCCAGTACAAGTGTCCGGTGGCCGTGGAGGACGCCGAGTGAGTACTGGCTGCTCGGGGATGTGGCGAGGGGTCCGGGGGCCCCCGGGGGAGCCTTGGAGGGCTCCTGCCACACTGCAGCACCTGCAGAGCAGTGGGACGTCGCATTCAGCGAGGTCCTGGTGGGAGAAGCAGGGAGATGGAGACCCTCTTTTTGATGGCGCCCTGGGGGATGTCACTCTCTGTGTCATCCCCCCGCGGATGGAGATGAACTCCAGGCTGGGGGCAGGGACAGAGACGTCTGCTGCCTTGGGTCTGGAGTTGGGATGGAGATGGTCACCAGGCTGGGATGGAGATGTTGGGTCTGGAGTTGGGATGGAAATGGTCACCAGGCTGGGATGGAGATGTTGGGGCTGGGGTTGGGATGGTCACCAGGGTGGGATGGAGATGTTGAGGCTGGGTCTGGCGTTGGGATGGAGATGTCCTCTAGGCTGGGCATGGGATGGAGATGTCCAGGGTGGGCTGTGGGGTTGTGGGTGATGGAGGGGGAGCTGTGGGGGTACCACAGGGTGATGGCGGCTGTTGTCCCCAGCGACATGGTGGCCCCGAGCTCAACGTTCTGCAAAGTCTACACCCTGACCCCCTTCCTCGCCAACAACCGGGAGAAGCGGGGGCTGGCGCTGGACGGCAAGCTCAAGCATGAAGACACCAACCTGGCCTCCAGCACCCTGTGAGCCCCCCCTGACCGCCCCCGGGGCTCCTGCTCCCCCCGGGGGGGCATGGGCAGGGCCAG